TTATGTCAGTCGCGCAAGCGGACTGGGAGGAGGGGTCCAGTTGCCAGAAGCGCGCGCCCAAAGCAGCCAAGATCTGGTTTATGGGGGGGGGCGATAAAGGGGGGCCAGGGGGCCGCGCCAATCGGCGAAATTTTACGTAAAAAACAGGGGGGGGGATGACAGGGACGGAGGATGCCAGGAGGGAAGGTTTGGGGGTCAGGCCCGCGCGCAAGGGGGGGGGCGGGGCGAGAGAGGGCCTTTGATCTATAGAGGGCTGGGCTTTAATGGCTGCTTGAGCGAATCATTGGGAGGTTCTCGGCCAGGGCAAAGTGGGGAAGACGGCGGCGGGGGGGAGGGAAGCCTGGGGGGAGCAAGGCGGAGACATTTTTGAGCACGACCGCGCCGCGCTCCATGTTTCAAGCACACTGAAAATTGCAAAGCACGGTTACTCCAGCCTCCATGGGGTGGAGTCCCCCGCAACTTCCGTACCATCTGGCCTGGTTGTACTTGCTCTTACCCGCTCGAGGGTCGACACGAGGGTGGGAAGATTTCTTGAGGTTCTGGGAGGGGGAGGAAGGGAAGAAGAAGGTGGAGGAAGAGGCGGCGTAACGGTCGTCACCGGGCCCGCCCCCCCCCCGCCTCTGGTGATGTAACGTGCGGCGGCAGCCGGCGGGGTCTCGGATTGATTGATAGCTACATTGTATACGTACCTAGGGATTTGCTGGGGATAGCTAGGCATAGCTGCAGGAACTTCCACCTACACTGTCTGTGCCGCGACCACCACACAATGTCAGCGAACGCCAGCAAGGTGCCTGCAAGCGCCACAAAGGCCTGCGAGCACCACCAAATGACCAATAGCACCAAGCTGTGCTTGGGAGGGCAACAATCGCCTGCGCGAAATACAACGCCCGTGAAAACATGCGCGTGCCAACACCACGTGGCAAGGAAAGCCGGATCTTGCAAATAACACGCCAGCTTGCGAACACCAACCGTCGGCACAACACTGTCCGCACTTCCCATTAGAAGTCGCGAACGCCACAGTACGCCTGTGAGCACCAACGTTACCCATCGGTCGGAAGACGTGGGTAGACACATGAAATAGGAAGGCGTTGGAAGCAGACTGGGTCTCCGCCCGCTCCCTGAAGAGGAGGGAAGAGGGGGGAAGCCCCTCGATCTTTGGAGTAGGAAGGCGCCCAGAGCAGATTGGAATCTGGAACTCCACAAATGCCTGCTTGCAGCGACCGACAGGTACGCCCGTGAGCACCAACGCTGCGCCCGCGAGCGCCGCAGCGTGCCCGACAAAAAGCCACACAAGGTGCCTGCGCAGATGCCTCCTGGATGGGGTCGGAGCAGATGGGGCCGGATGATCGCACCGCATCGCCGATACATCGGCGATGCATCGGCGACGCCACGGTGGAGAACATCGGGCTCCTCGTCGAACCGCATCTGCGATGCATCGACGACGCGGTCTCCAACCCCATCCACTCCGACCCCATCCGGGAAGCCCAGACTGCCACGTCTGCACGGCGAGGGGAGCCGGGGCCGGGTGGCCTGCTCGGTGTGCAGACGCAGCAAGCGGGCCTTAGGTCGGGCATGTCCTCAGGCAGATTTTGGACGGACCACAAAACATCATCAAACACATGCAAGCCATGTCGACAATAGTCGGTCGGGAAATCGTCTCCAGATCATCTTTGGACTAGTTTTGAATATTCCTCCTGCAGAGGGACATGCCCGACTGAATGCTCATCCCACAGTAGCCTACGAACGCTACTGCGCGCCTGCAGGAAACAACAATGCGCCTGCAATCATCACAATACCATTCGCACGACACACCGTGCTCCAGAGCACCGAGATGTGCTTGATGGCGCGAGCAGGAGAAGATCGGGGGGAGGGCGAGGAGGGGAAACCAACGGCAACACGGCGAGAGACAAGTTCCAAAGTGCCAGAATCTGGAACGGCTGGGCTGAGCAGCAATATGCGACTCTCGTCTTGCAGAAGTGTCCAATTGTTGACTCCCGCAGACTGCCTTGCACATCACTCAGCCCGGGGCTCGTGCGGAGCGCATCTTGAAGACTCCAGGGTCGCGGTACGGGAATTGAGAGCAAGCTGGGCGGAACAATACAAATTCGTTGTGCAGAAGTGGCAAGTGATTGACTGCCGCAGGCTCCCATGCCCACCACCCAAGTCTGGGGCTAGTGCAAGGCAGCTCTTCGAGGATCACGCCCCCCCGCCGCCCCCCCCCTGGGCAGGGACGCTGCCCAGTGGACCCGAACAGAGGCGAGACGACGCAGCAACAGCAGTAGCACTGAAGCGCAGGAGCAAGAGCAAGAGCAAACAAGGATGACGGGAGGAGGGAGACGCACCAGCAGTACGGGAAGATACAACAACGACAGCAGCAACAACATCAACAACAACAACACCAACACCACCACCACCAACAACAACACCAACAACAACAACAACAACAACAGCAACAGCAACAACAACAACAACACCAACAACAACACCAACAACACCAACACCAACAACAACACCAACAACAACAACACCAACACCAACAACAACAACAACAACAACAGCAACACCAACAACAACAACGACGACGACAACAACAGCACAACTACAACAACAACGACGACGATGACAACGACAACAGCAACAACACCAACAACACCAACAACAACAACACCAACACCAACAACAACGATCATTGTAAGACTGTTCGCTCGTATCTGCTCGCGTACCATGCAACACGTATATCCCGAACCCTCGATACCCGCCCTCTTCGTCTTCGATCGTACCCTCTTGGGGGTAGATCTATCTTACCTTCAACGCGTATTCCATGCAGCCCCGACGGCAGAGGAAGAGAGGATGCATGGAAGAACAGACCAAGAGGGAGGGAGGGAGGAGGATGGAGCACGAAATAGAGAGACAGAGAGAGAGAGTAGCAGGAGGGGGGCTAGGACCAGAAGACACGTGGCAGAACCCGACGGGCAGATCGGACGGGTAGACCCTAACAGGCGGGTCGGGAAGGCAGGCCCAGGCGGCCAGGTCGAGCAGGCGGGCTGCTGAAGTGTGCGTCCTGCATGAATCGCGAGGAAGTCTCAAGCGATAGCGCGATTCCGAAGTAAATCGTGAGATAGGCCAAAGCGAGAGCGTGATTCCTGAGTGTCGAGGGCGCGGCGTCTGGATAAATTGAGAGAACAATTCCCACGCGAGAGCGCGATTTCTACATACATGGTGAGGAAATCCCGCGCGAGAGCGCGAAGTGGGAATACACTGTGAGGAAATATAAAGTGGGAGCCGTTGTTGTTGTTGTTGTTGTAAACCGGTCGCCAAGGGCACAATTCTGATAATCAAAATTTTCCCTGAAAGAAACAGGGTGCGAGCCCCCAGAGGGGCACTTTCATAGAAAAAACACAATGTGCTCCCGAGGGAGGGGATCAACAATAATTATTATGTAGGCATGAGACTTCAACAACACTAACAACACCAACAACAGCAACAACACAACAATCAACAACAACACCAGCAACAACATCAAACACAACACCAACACCAACACCAACACCAACACCAACACCAACACCAACACCAACACCAACACCAACACCAACTGCAACAACAGCAACAACAACAACAACGCCAACACCAACACCAACAACAACACCACCAACAGCAACAACATCGTCAACAACAACATAATTGTCACATGTTGCTGCTGCCTGGGCCCGCGAATCTGGAACGGCCATGCTGGACGGACATATTCAAACTCATCTTACAAAAACTGTTTGTCCCCTCGGCACTCTGTGCCCTCCATCACATTTTGGGGCTCGTGCAGACGGACATTTCGAGGAACTCGTGAAGTGCAACACCTGGATAGCGGAGCGCCAGAAGACCCTTCAAATGCCTCTCGAACGAGCTCCGGAAACTCCTGGAAGGAGCTTCCGAAGGCACTTCTGGAGAGCTTGCGGGTAGACGTGTTGGGAAACGCTCAGGGAAGGCCTGCAGGGACACGCTGCAAATTCAACCCGCCCCACCGAGGTGTATTCACGGAAACCGGAACGAGCTCTGGGGCGACCCTGCGAAGCTGGCTTCTTTTTGAAATCCTCTTAGCTCTCCAAAAATCTATCTGGGAAGATTGACTGGAACGGGAAACACTTGTCTGTGCATCAGGAACACCCTATTTAGTATTGCGCGATGTTTTTGTTGTTGTTGTTGTTGTTGTTAATTTTCTAGTTCGCTTCCTGCGGTTATCCGGCCTTTTTTTGCGTGTGCATCGGGAGTGGTTTCGGGAGGGCCACAGAGGGCTTGTGTGCGTTCGCCCACGAGTATGCGAGAGGCTTCAGGAGATGAGAAAAGGAATGTCCAAGAAGGGATGGGCAGCAAGTAAGCACACAATCGAATGGACCAATAGTTTCAACAGGAGTAAGAAGCGAACAAGAGCATTCCATGCAGCATCAGCAGGGGGGTAATAATATAAGATTGAGCCGAACAAAAAATGAACAACAAGATAAGCGAGACAATTCTCCCCCGACCCGGATGCCTCGGCTCTTCGTCAGGAGACACGGTCGCGAAAAAGGTGGGAGGGAGGGGTGGACTCGGCAAGGCC